GTAGAGGATGAAAGTATGCAGAGAGTACATAGGGAAGAGTGGGACTTATCAGCATTGCTTTCTCTTTCAGTCTCCTCACCATCACAAGCGTTACTTCTTCCCTCGTATGTATACCCTTTGGCTTTCTCTCCCAATCAGATTGCATCATCATTCAGTATCATCTTTTATCGCAGATTCTTGCATACAAGAACAAGGAAGAATTGACCAAAGAGGCATGAGTTTCTCTGCTGGAGATGACTCACATCGGTTCAAGAGTGGTGATTTAACTAAATCCATTGTTTGGTTTTGTTTCTGCTTTAGTATATCATGTTATATCTGAATCTTTCTCCTCATGTGCTTGAAAGCTGTCCGGGCAACGATACTAGAAAACCAACCGAATACCGCAAGGTAGAATAGAGAATATTGATTCTTATCTTCTTCTTTTGGTTCTGGCTTTCAATGGTTTGTAATCCGAATGGTGGAATGCAGGAAAGCTAACAAGACAGGAAGCTTCTCCTTCTCACCAAACATACACAACAAACCCCCCCCAAGTAGCACAATAACTAAAACAATGATAATTCCTTACTCTGAGATTTGTGAGACAAGTAAAAGAGTGTGTGTGTGTGTGAATAATGCAGGTAAAAGAACAAACTCTCCTATGAGATTTCCTCTCTTACGCTCAGGATCTCTACTGAAACGTTCAAGCTCCCCAAGCCAGCCAAGGAAACTGGTATACTAATTACTTGCTCTGATATTCAAATTCAATGTTTAGTTCCTTACTTACTTTGTGTGGATTTTAAAGGAACCACAACAAAGAGCGGTTTCTGTGTCGAGAAATACAGAGATAGTGGAGATAAAGCAATCTTCTATGAGAAAGGGGAAGAAGAGTCTGATGCTCAAGGCACTGATGAGTATGAGCAAGTCCAGAAACTAAGTCTCCACAAACCTATGTGTATGATAATTGTACAAAATTAGTATGTGAGAAATAAGAGAGTAATGCTCATTCTCAATCTTGTTAGATGCTTTGGCTGAAAAAAATGGTGTGGATAGAGAAACATAGTACAAAACTAACTATCTTCACTGTTAGTTTATTCACTTCCTTTGTAGCTTCAAATTCAATGAACAACACCGACAAATTGCCTAATTTCTCATTTTCTTTCTTTCTTGGAAGCCTTAGTTACAAGTTTA